GTATGCTCAACTCGATTCATTCTAGGAGTGTCAGTATTGTATGCTCACCTCGACTCAATCTAGGAGTGTCGGTATAGTATGCTCAACTCGATTCAATCTAGGAGTGTTGGTATTGAATGCTCAACTCGATTCAATCTAGGAGAGTCAGTATAGTATGCTCAACTCGATTCAATATAGGAGTGTTGGTATAGTATGCACACCTCGATTCAATCTAGGAGAGTCAGTATTGAATGTTCACTCCTATTCAATCTAGGAGTGTCGGTATAGTATGCTGAACTCAATTCAATCTAGGAGAGTCAGTATAGTATGCTCAACTCGATTCCTCTAAGTATGATATCTGTTGGTTTTATCGAAAATTGAAAAAACAATCATGATCTTCTTTATTCATAAAGAAAAAAAGTTATATGAAATTGACTTTCAAAGCTTACACCTACAACAAACTTAGGTCAATTTATCAAAATAGTGAGATAGGAAATGAATACAAATTATAAATGACAAAACGGTCAATACGATCAATTGAATTGTGATTTAATTAATCGTCTGAGACGGAACTATGCATTAAACAAACTGAACCAATTTAGATCATCTAATGAAGGCATTCTACATAATCCATTTTTCATTGAGGCACCATCTTTACATTTTTGTAGTCAGAAATTAAACGCATGCTGTGAAACAAATTGTACCTCGGAAGTAATGTTCGCTAATTCAAATAATTATATAATGGGATAGAATTTTATTATACACCAAATATTTACATTTCTGAAATGAAACTGAAATAATTATTTCTCTTTGAATTAATCCTCTGTTTTATGGTAGTATGCGTCTGGGTTATTTTCATTCTGGATTTCAATTTGAACGATAAAACTATCGTTATTGTACAGCTATCGTATAAGATTTTATTGATGTATACGCCATGAAATAATATATTGAAAAAATATCACATGAATAACTATGCAATATTTCTGCAATATGTTTGGAGACCGTGACGACTTTGTTCAACGTCAATGTCTCCAAATCATCCAATTATCGCCGATCTGACTTACTCTCGGTGTTCGATGTTGTTGGTTCTGTAAAATTATCCAATCAATTATCGCCGATCTGATTTACTCTCGGTGTTTGATGTTGTTGGTTCTGTCAAATTATCCAATTATCGCCGATCTGACTTACTCTCGGTGTTCGATGTTGTTAGTTCTGTCAAATTATCCAATTATCGCCGATCTGACTTACTCTCGGTGTTCGATGTCGTTGGTTTTGTCAAAAACAATCGTTGAACTGACTATCTCCTGGTTTTCAATGGTATTGGTTGTGTTGTTATTCATTTTCGCACATATAATTTCTGGGGTTTTAAATGTTGTTGCATATATCGTCAATTATCGTTAAACTGTCTATCTCTCTATGTTATTTGTTGTATCGTCATTTATGTTCAAACTGGCTATCCCCGAGTTTTTAATGTTGTTAGTTTTGTCGTCAATTATTTTGAAACTGACTGTTTCCGAGTTTTCTGTGTTGTTGGTTTTGTCGTCAATTATTTTGGGACTGACTGATTCCCGGTTTTCAATGTTGTTCGTTGTGTCGTCAATTATTTTGGAACTGCCCATCTCCGTGTATTCAATGTTATTGTTTGTGTTGTCCATTATTTTGGAACTGACTGTTTCTTGGTTTTCAGTGCTGTCATTTGCGTCACCAATTATTTTAGAACTGACTGTTTCCGAGTTTTCAATGTTATTTGTTGTGTCACTTTTAGAGAATAGCTTGAAATGGCATGACCGACAATTTTAAATAAAAGACACGTTGAGAATACAACACAAAATGAGCAGCTAAACACAATTATTACAAACCTGGTTCTTTTCATAACATGAGAGGATTAATTTCTAGACGCATTGGAGTTCTCTAATTTTCAATAATTACCCCCATGATCATTTGTAAATGAGCTATGATATCTTAGATTACAATGATATGCTATGATCATCATATTTTCGCAGTAAAACATTATCAGGCACTTTAAAAAACCCATTGAGTTTAATAAATAAAACGTTTCTGTATGATCTTGGTAAAAAGAGAACAGATAAATACAAAATGTTTTCAACCTGTCATTCTTTATTTCGGTACAGATTCATTTCAAAAGGACCGTTAGAACGTAGTCATTAACTTTTCTCTCTAAAAATATTTATAAGGTGCCTTAATTGCCACTTCACATCAAATTGTTTCCTTTGATAATAAATGCTTAGATATTTATAACAAATAGAAAATTCCTTTAGACACGTTGATGTTCTATTTTCCACAAATGACATTATTTTTATCTTTATAATAAATTATAAGTACAACTAATGCAAATCAAAATTGACAAGACATATACTCTAGTTCCAATGGATGGTTTACACGTGTATCTTTGACGTCAATTTGGATAGTTTACACGTGTATCTTTGACGTCAATTTGGAAGCTCGTCATTGAGTTAACACTATTTCAAATTTCGTTACAATGAGCTTCCATTCCGTCGAGTAAAAACCAGAATTGGTATCTTCGATGTACACATGCAGATACAGATTGGTAAACTTTGTTTTACCGGAAACTAATAATTGAAAAGATCAGAACGGATTTTTAAAACATGTAGTCATATTCACTCATTGGGTCAATTTTCAGATATTTTCAGACAGAAAATTCAGTGGTATAATGAAGCGTTGCTTGTGACTTATCATGATATTTTCATTTTTAAGTAGAGAGTATAGCTATGTATTTTATTTTCTTGAGGTATACTATAGATACTAATGGTCTGATTAATGATCACACAGATATCAGTTGGCGGCAAACGAAATGATTTAACATGTTGTTTGAAAATCATTTCATCTCAAACAATATACCTGAAAAAAAGCATAAAATCATAACGATTCTTCATGTTTTTATATTCAGATTATTCACGTATTTATATTCTGATAATATACGTTTTTGTGTTAGATATTATTCACGTCTTTTATGTTAGATCATTCACGTTTCTACGTTAAATAATTCTCGTTGTTATTTTAGATAATGCACACGATGAAAAATGTTGGCCTTAGCAATACTAGTATTCGCTTTATACACGTAAAATGTGGAAAATTCTTTTTTATATATTACGCATACGTTTTAATACTCAATACTAGTCCTTTCCTTATTGAATTCACCCACTTATGAAAACAATAACACTCCTTAAGATAAATCTTTAAAATGACCATCCTTCTCACCTTTTTTCCTTTGACCGTGGTTTCGTTTGTTCTACTATGATTTCCCCCTTTGACATCATTGACAGCATTCAGAACATACATTTTGTTTTTAAATTCCCCTTAGATAACTTTGGCTATTCAGTTTAGGTCCCTTTGGCGATATGCCCTCCTTTGAAGATTTGGTTTTGAGCAGTACTGATAGAGATTAAGTTTGCATTGTTAACGAGCTCATAAGACCAGATTTGTCGATTGGTTAAGCATTTCCTCTATGAACAATCCATTATAGTATTCATTACGGTATATATTGGAAAACATATTGATGGTGTTATATTACTAATATGTGCCAGTTGAACTTAAAATCAAGTATAAAACAATGACTAACATTTCTTCTTCATATTTTAATTTAGATTTCATTAAGAAAAAGAGACAGATGGGCGACTTAGAAATAATGCTTTTAGTTCAATTTTCATATTGTCGAGTTATCAAATTCATTGTGGAGAACCAATATAACTTTACCTATTGCATTCTCAGTAAATTGCGCGTGAATATTTTAGATAGAAAATAAACGAATAATAATAATAATAATAATAATAATAATAATTCACAGACGTCAGAACAGAAAATAACTGACACATATTAGTGACAATATGAGGATACCATATCCTAATTCCTCAGATATGATAAATATTGAATTCCTCGCTCCTGTTATGAACTCCCACAAATCGCATATAATGGACTTTGTCGTTCTGAAATTACTTGTATCTCTTACAGAGAATAAACTGACAAAAGATAAACAATATAGTTAGCCAAAATATATGACAGAAATATGAATATCTAACAATTATAATCGTACTAACAAGTGGCTGTGAAATCAGGTGCTCCGAAAGAGTTAGTAGGTCTTTTTTCACAAGTGGGAGTGAATCAGGTGCTCCGAAAAAGTGAGTAGGTCTTTCTTTAAATGTGGGATTGAAATCGGGTGCTTCGAAAGAGTTAGTAGGTATTTCTTCACTACTGACACAAATTTTAATTATTAGAATTTAAGTCCTGTACGTAAATTCAGTTATTACGGTGCGCTGTACTATATATGTTTTGTTTGGTTATTAGTGAGTTTAAGTATACCGAATCTCATTGGTGGTTACTGAACCTTGAAATCTGACGTCACGAGCCCTTTTCAATTTTGGATCCAAGGAGGAAGGCAGAAGACAATTCAGCTAAGATATAAAACCAAAAGAACTTAAATTTTTTTAATATTGTCAGGAAGTATTTAGAATTATTTAAACCTTTGAAGTTATATTTGGTGGTTTTCAAGAGAGGGTGTTTCGTCATAAAGGGACGTCAATTATGAATTACTTTTTAACGTATCCCGCAATGGTGGTAAGTCGTGCACTTAAGGACATTTTTTATTTTATTTTTCTGTAGACTTTGCTTTGTTTTTTTTATTACTGTGTATTGTCAAGCTTGGTTACTCATAATTGTTTCTCAGTCACTGAATGCACGATGTTGTTCCATACTGGAGCAGCTGACCCGGTTTGTTTACGTTCAAATTCCAATGGCGTCAAAACCACGTGATGCATTGAATCGTTATACCCTATCAAATTGCTCTATTGTCAATTAGGTGATTTTTTTAGGCTAAGGCAATTATATTATTTATTTGTACGATAGTTCTTTGAAACTGTTTTTAATGAATTGGGAATTGATTTAACCGGGAACATCATTTATTACCATGAAAATCGAAATTAATGGAAATTTTGAGAGAGTTCACCAGTGGTGATTTTTTGGCATTAAAATCAAAATGCAATTTCTTTGTTAAATAAGTACAATAATGAATCAGAAAATGATTTTTATTTTTATTTACCAATTACTCTACACCTTTCTCACAAAACACACACATGAAACTGTCACCCCTTCTAATAACTCTCACTTTTGTACAATAAATAAGATGCACCCACCTCTCACACTTCTCACATTGTGCCCACTTAGTAAATATCAAACTACTACTCTGTCTCACCTGCTCTGGAACAAACTTCTTACATACACAGCACTTTTCATCCTCTCTTATTTCAGACTCACTCTCACTCTCACTGTCTATTGCCCAATCACTTACACATTTACCCACTCCACTCGTTCCTGGCTTCTGTGAATCACTCTTGCTACATTTTACAATTTTTTTCTTCTCTTGCTCTCTCTTCCTCTTACACCCCACAGATCCATTCTGGCCTTTCTTACTACTTTTTGCACAGCTTTTATTCACACTACTATCACTTGCTTTCTTCCCAGGATTCTTACTCACATGCTCTTTTACCCTCTCTAACACATCATCCTCCGTCACAGTCTTTCCATTAATAACCCTGCTTAACACATTCCTCTTCTTTTTTTTCTCCCCTTTTACTCTTTTCATTGCCACTACCTTCTTTACAAAAAAATCACTCTTACTCCCTTCATCTCTTCCAACTACATCTATCATTCTACCACTCACACTCACAACACTTTCATTCTCCTTGTCACTCTCAACTTCCTCTCTATCACTCACAACACTCCTAGCTACCTCCAAACCAATCTCTCCTTCCCTCAGAACACCCACATTCTCCTTATTACTCTCAACTTCCTCTCTTTCACTCACCACACTGTCATTCTCATTCTCTCTCACAACTACCGCACTGTTAACAGCTTCTACAGTCTCTAGTACAGTGTTCTCATGATGGTTTTCAATGTCACTTATAAATGCCTCTGATGGTGTCAGTGGTAAGTCATTGATAATGTCTTTTGTGAACGGATAAATTCCTGTTTTTCTAAAAGCTGACTGCAAATTACTGGCTGATAAGGCATTTCCGTAAGCTTTGCATGCCATGCTACAAACATCATAACGAGTTAGTGCACATTGTTTTGTTCTGATAGTTCTGTGACAAAGGCTGTTGTATATATTTTGCAGAGGACCATAACAACCTACATCCAACGGTTGCAAAAGATGGCTGGTGTGTGCTGGAAGTAACTGTATAACAATGTTATGACGCCTTGCCCATTCAATTGTGCTAACAGCAACATGAGATTTATGTCCATCTAACAATAACATCACATGCCCATTACCTGGAACAAATTTCTTGAAATGATTGCTGAGGAAATCCATGAATAGTTCTGAATTAGACCAACCCGTCTTAGAGACAGTGCCAACTGTTCCTGGTGTAGACCCCTCTAGCAACTGATCATTCATTCTCTGTCCTGGGAAGACAAAGTAAGGGGGTAATGCATTGCCAATTGCATTTCCACACCCCAAGATAGTCACAGTGTCACCCTTTCCAGATGTAACCTCCTGTGATGATGTCTCCACTCCTGACACTACCTTTGATGGATTGTGGTTGATGGTTACACCCTTCTCATCAACATTATAAATCAAATGGGGTTTGTCCATTAGATCATATTTAAGTAGGGCTTTCTCGAGTTCATTGAAGTATTTCGTAATGTTCTCCTTGTTGGCAGCTTTTGCTCTAGCAACTTCCAATGCCCTTGGTTTTACAACTTTGAGATCTGGCCATCTTCCAAGCATTCCGTAGAACCAGGTAAGAGTTAGAGGTTTATCAATTTTAGTTTTCTTGTCAAGCATTACTGCATAGTCAGTTGCTATATCCACAACTTCCTGTCGGTTATATCCATATCCAAGTTGAGCCATTTCCTTCAAATGTATCACCAACCGGCTTTCTTCATCTAATGTAAAAAAAGGTGCACTGCCCATTGTACAACACTCAGGATCTACATTTCCAGTTACCCTATCCCTAAGAGTTTGAAATGGTACACCATAAGACTTTGAAGCTCTACGGATAGATAGTTTATCAACCATTATTGCTGAATATGCACGTGTTAATGCAGTTGGAGAATAGGTCCTGTATTTGGCTTTCCCCCCTGGTTGATGAACTTGATTGATCTACAAATATAATACAAAAAGTTATTAATTATACTGACCCATTTGTGTTTAAAAAACAGAAAGAAGAAAAATTCAGTAAAAAATTTGATATGTATCTAGGTCAAATTTACTTTATAAAACTAAAGAAATTGTTCTTAATGCAATTATTTTTGTTTTTTGAAATATTATCTACCTTGTATTTACGTTTTACAAGCTGATGTTTCCTATTTCAAGTATTTTATTGTTAGTTTTAATATGCACATTCCACCATTTTTTTTGGTTGTAATTTGTGATGTTCTCGTCTCAGTTTGACATATTTTCCCGTAAAATTAATAAAATAATGTAAGGTGCTTGCTATATTGAAAAGACGTAAAAAACAATTTGGTTGGCCTTACAGGAAACGGATATGAGTTCTGACCTGGAAAAATATGTAAACAAAAAGGTGGATGCCGGGACTGGGTTTGTTTCTCACTATAAATACGATTTTAGACCTGTTGATAATTGTTTTCAAAAGAGGTTAAGGAAAATGGCACTTTTATGAAATAATTATTTATTTTTAATCATACATACCTTTAGGAATCTCATTTTTTTTAAGCGAGTTGATTTCAAGTGAATCTGATACTTGTACGCTGTGAAATGTGAAAAGTGACGTCAGAGCGGAGTTTATTCACGAGATAAATACAACCAAAAAAAGCGAACGAATTGACAATATGACCGATTATACACTACGGTAGGATATGCTGACTGAATGAAATACAGAAGCACATGGCGACCACATGGACAAAAAATCATTTCTCGAAGTTTTTTTACCAAGTTAATTTATTTGATTATTGCCAGTATTGGGTTTTATTTATATATTGGGCATCCTTTCGATGAACTATAGTTCCACACTTCTTATTCATCAGAAATATTTCGACCATGCCACCCAAAAATAGATATAGGAAGATGTGGTATGAGTGCCAATGAGACAACTCTCCATCCAAGTAACAATTTATAAAAGTAAACCATTATAGGTCAAGGTACGGCCTTCAACACGGAGCATTGGCTCACACCGAACAGCAAGCTATAAAGGGCCCCAAAAATGTCTAGTGTAAAACCATTCAAACGGGAAAACCAACGGTCTAATCTATATAAAAACGAGAAACGAGAAACACGTATGAACTACATAAACAGACGACATCTACTGTACATCAGATTCCTGACTTAGGACAGGTGCAAACATTTGCAGCGGGATTAAACGTTTTAATGGTACCAAACCTTCTCCCTTTTTCTGAAACAATAGTATAACATCACAACATAGAAAGACACACTACAAAATATCAATTGGAAGGCTTAACTCAATCAAAAAACGTATATTAACACACAATGAACGAATAACTTTGAGTGTAGATTAAAATTTTTTTTGTAGACTACTCTAATAGATAAGATGTGACGCATTGTGAGGCTATTCTGTTTTGCTGTTCGTGTTGTATCTATTGCAATGAATTAAAATTGAGAATGGAAATGGGGAATGTGTCAAAGAGACAACAACCCGATCATCAAGATGTTCAACCCAGGATTGAAAAATTACTACTCGGCTTATATAGATTTTAATAGGCCAACTAAATGTGCTTTTAAAAGAAAAAAGAAAATAAATGAGAAACAAGCCTGGGGATGCAACATTTAATTGTGAGGATGACAAACATCATAAAGAGGTGGTTTTTGTTTTATCTAATTCTTATTTACGGATGATTTTTTTGTCATTATTGATTATTATCAAATTTTACATTGATAATTTGTGTCATGATATCATTGTATGTAAATGTATATTTGCATTACGGTAAGCTAGCAAAATGTAGATCTTAAGAACTAATTGGTTTTTTTTTTGTAGTTATGAAGCAGTGGGCATCTAGTGAACGAGAACATAGAAAATTCACCCTTATAAAAAGTTGAGAAAGTCAATAATAAAACAGTGCAGGTGACGCAATTATGCTATTTACCACATCAGACTTCTTCAACCGAATGTTAAATACAACTGCAGGGGTATACACCACTACAAGTACAGATGATACTACGTATTCTTTTACATTTTAACTCTGGAACCAGTCGAGATCATTCATTAGGTAATGTTGCCTTATTCAGTCTTTTTAAATAACTAATGTTAGCATGCACACTATATAACTTTTAATATTTCCAGATGGGGTACATTTGTTATTTGAAAGAAATATATATATATATATATTAAAAAAAAAATAATACATAACATAATTGCAAAAAGTTGAACCCTGACGGGTGAAAACATAATAGTCATGTACACAAGAAACATTTAATACATGAAAAAAGTTCTAAACGAATCGAATTAATATTAATAACATACATTTATAGTATATAGATAATTGACCAATGTGGACATTATTTTCCCTTTCCCTTGATTGCTTGTATAATATAGTATATAGCCACAACACTAGACTAAATATTTTTATTGGGATCTAAAATAGTTTACATTTTGAGTAAAGCTGGTTTGAATTATGATAATGGGTTTTAATTGTATTTATAATGGGATTTTTAATATTACTGCTGATTTGGCAATGAAGGAAAAAGTGTTCCTCAGCATCTAAAACTTTGCAAACTTTGCACTCTCTATATGTTCTCTTTGAATTTTCTTATATCGACCAAAGGTGGTTTTGTTGCTCATGCAAAGGCAATTGGTAAGTATATATTTTCAACTACAGAAGATTGGTATAATAATATATGTATGATTAATTATCTAGCTTGTTTAGATTAAGTTACATAAAAATGATTTTTAACTTTTCAGTAAATGACGCCACTTTATAATTTAAGTTTGACATTTTTGATTATTGGCTAATGTATTTGGCACACAGCTTGGCAGCGAACCCACCATTTAATGGCGGTTGACAGTGTAACCAAGGTCTGGTTTCAATGTCAATTTGGCATAATTCGCTGCATCAAAAAACATTTCGTTTTATAAATAGTATCATTCACTACAGATTAACAATGTAAGGGTTTTGATCCATCACCTGTGTTCCCACGGGGTGATCCAAATTGTTTTAATCTTATATTCAGTTACCACAATCTGTGGTAGTCATATATATATATATATATATTTGATAGTAAGGTTGCCATAATCAGCGATATGCCGGTAACCTCATATTTTCAGATATGCAAGTGACAGTTAAATTGCCAGCGATCTGCGGCACATACATACATTTATATACAATATGTATAAATTAAATAATATTAAAGGCTGTGACCAAATACTGCCAATATGTTGTTGGGTTTTAACAAGCATCTGGGATAACATTAAGGTAACATGATTCTGGAGTTTACATCTGTTAACATCTGTTTTGTTAGCGCTCGCGTTGTACAATATCTGCACAAATATTTCCTAGGATCTCAAATCAGTCCTAAGAACTATACAATCAATGTCTTTAATGTATTGATAACAAACTTTGACTCACATTTCCAGACGTTTCTGCCTCACGGTCTTCTTTGGCGGAAATATATTGAAATGATGTATCGACGATCAAAACAGATAATATTTTGTTAAAATCTATTTTTTTCAAGACCACGTTACAATAATTGTTTCTGATTTTTACTGAAATTGTTCAAAGAATTTTCATAAGTACGGAATTATATATAAAAAAGTCCGACAAAAAAAGTTGCGCGATAAAAAACTGTCAACTGTATACACGTGTATATTCAAAATACTCAAAATCTACTTTTTTGTAAGATAAAATTGAGAATGGAAATGGGGAATGTGTCAAGAAGACAACAACCCGACCAAAAAGCAGAAAACAGTCCAAGGCCACCCATGGGTCTTCAACACAGCGAGAAAATACCCTTCTAGAAAAAAACACAAGCGATATTAAGATTTAATAAGTCTAGTAGAATTTGACGTTAGCAAGACGAATTTTGGTGAATTGTTGTTTGTATTTTTTTGTCTTTTTCTTTTAGTCGAAGCATTTTCTTTCTTTCATCATCATATGATTTTTCAGTGCTTTTTGTATTGCCGTTAATGTGGATATTAACATCATTTCATTTTGAGAAACCAAGGCAAATTATGAAATACCAAAATCGTTGACTGATTCATCGCTTGTGTAGTGGAGCTTTCGATTTAATTAGGAACTTAAATAGCATCAAAGTTAATTCGAGTTATTTAATTAATGATACAAAATCAACACAAATATTCATGCTGGTCCTTAATTCGGAGGAGCAATTTCGGTAACAGAAAATGTGATAATAAAAGCATTGCTAGTATAATTGGTTGTATTTTCCACTGGATCTTTATTTGATTGAAAAGTTAGTGATTATGAGATATCCTACAGCTGTTTTTATAAATAGCTAATAATTATCAACCACTTCATACAATTTAAGTAGGGTATCATTACGTCACAAAATCAACTTAAAGTGTGTACATACGCCTTCCCATTGTTTTGCTTCCCATTTCTAGTGCATGTTGACTTTTAACGCATTTGAACATAACATACCCAATCCTCGCTTAAGTTACTAGTATTGCACATTTTAGTTATGTTGTAAGGCATTTTGACCATTATGAAGTCTTAAGAATATGAAAAAATTTGTGCAATATTTTTTTTTCATATTATACTACAAAATTATATCATATGACTCATATTCTAATGTATTGTATTACACATTATTCCACTGTATGTAAATATCTATAGCGAAATCAACATTTGATCGCTTGAGACTATCTCACGTGACATTGAACAAAACTTCATATTCCCCTCTGATGATCGGGACTACCTCGTATGACGGTACGCGCGGTTAATTTACATAACGGTTTTTTTTTTAAATACCGATAGTATAGTAATGTTTGTGGTCATAATTATTTCAGACATAAAAACAAAACAGAGAAAAACTTCTTTTACAAGAAAAAATAATTAAACTTTTGATCAATATTGCTTATCAATGTTTATGTCGTGTTTAGTTACTTGGTATAGTGTTTAGTTACTTGGTATAGTATTTAGTTACTTGGTATATAATTGTTTAGTTACTTGGTATAGTGTTTAGTTACTTGGTATAGTGTTTAGTTACTTGGTATATAATTGTTTAGTTACTTGGTATAGTG